GCCCAGCAGCTGACCCTGGATCTCAGTCTTCCTAGTTGCTGGTACCTGGATGTGACACAGTGCAGTTGTGGCACAGACCCCCAGGAGCTGGCCTTGGACATCCCCAAAAAGCAGTGACACCAGTGCCAAAAGTGCTCAGGAGAGCTGCTCCAGCTCCCTCGTCCTGATGGCCCATGGCGCTGGGGCTCTCCTGAGACAGCCCCCGGGGAGCCCAGCCATGGTGTCCCCTCCTCTGAGCCTGTAATTTGGGTTCCCGTGTGCCTTTGTGCCTCTGACAGCTCTTGTGATGGGCCTGGGAGCAGCCAGGACAGAGTATTATTTGGGCTCCCCTCTGGCATTGCTTCTCTGTGGGTGTGCAACGTGATGTTTATCCCATAAACTGGTAACCAGGGCAAATACTGAGCAGATCTCAAATCAGTCCAGGGCCTCCAAGGAAAAAGGGAGGACTTCACAAAGAAAACTGAAAAAAAAATGTACTTACCTGCATGCTGTAGATTTTGTGATATCTTTTCCTTCTTAGATCACCATTTTCTCACCCAGGTTGTATGACTTTGTGCTTTCTTAGTACGTGGCATCTCATAAGGCTTTTTTTGGCTGCCTCTTCAGCACAGAGCTCTGCTGCAGTGAGAAACCAGCCCGGGAGAACACGTTATTCGCAGACCTGAGCAGGGAGGACAGTTTGTTGTATTTTTTCCTGACAACATTTATCCACTATTTCAAGAGTCTGAAGGGGGAAGCGATATTCATCAAAATTACCTTTTTCTTCTGCAAGATTTCTTTTTCTTTCAGGCTGGTCATAGCAGCACACCTGCCCTGGGCAAGGAAAGAGCTGTGAATGGGGACGGACTCCCCCCCAGATACCCTAAAACACCCAGCATGGGTGGAGGAGAACCAGCAACGCCAGGGTCACCATGGGACCATAGCACTGCTTTTGGCAAACTGTGTTAGAGTGGGAGCTCTAGCCCTGGTGCCTGCTCTCTTTGTAGCTTGGAAACGGGCCTCAGCTGGCCCCAGTGAGGATGCACCTCACGTAATCAGCTGAACCTGCCTCCAGCCTCTGCAGATCTCTTCCCATGACTTTCTCTTGCCCTCTGTTTTTTCAGACCATCCCCAGCTTGTGCTCAGTGACAGTTTCCCCACAGGTTCAAGTCTTAACACTATTCCCCAACGCAAGCTAAACCCCTCTGCTTCGCAGAGATGCTGCCAAGACCAAGCAAATGCTTTTTGCTGATATGGTGTGGTTTGCTCAAGTGCAACAGGAAGCTACATGGGAAGGAGTGTGGGAATAAAGCTATTGGGAGGAGGATTTCAGACTACCGGGAGCAGGGATGCTAATGTACGGAGAATACTTTTTGGGAAGCCAGTTCATTTATATCACATCTCTGCAATAAATAATGGTTTCAGCCCCTAGGAGAAGAACAGTGCCCTGCTGAAGCAGCCTGCTCACACATGCTCACATACGCCATCACTCAGCAGCGACCTCATGGCCCAGTTGGCTCCAACTCCACAGTGTTGCATGTCTCTGGTTTCCTGTGGGCGCCACAACATTAATTCCTTCGAGTTATTGGATCTAGAGCCATCTCCGAGACACATGCTCTCGTTTACTGCACACAAGGTGTCCAAGAGACGAAAACCAGAGGAAATGAGCACCTGGGGAGCAGGCAGTGGGATGGCGATGGCTTTGTCACATGTCCACCCGGTGAGTGGTACTGTGCTCTGGACCATCTTCAAGATGCTCCGAGTGCAGCCTGGGGGTAACTACCCCTTCCCACATGTTTCCCCAGTTCCTGAAAACAGGATCGTATTCCTGTGTTTGCACCTGCAAAGCCCTGATCAGCAGTGCAGGACTCAAGGCTGCTCTATAGTGTTTTTGTTGCAATACTACCTGTTCCCAGGATGTTTAGGGGTTTTGTTTCCTTCTCTCATTGCGAAGGCCATCCTGTCTTTGTGGCTGTGTTTGGGATTCAAGGGGACGATCCTGCACACAGTAAAGATCCTGGATATAGTAAAAAAGATAAGCTGCAAAAAATATGGTAGTTGTGACACACAACACGGGCCTGGAGGCAGGTGGCAGTGTCATGATGCAAGACGGGGACACAAGCTCGAACTGCTCTCATCTTCCCTCCACTTCTCCCTTCCCTACTCTGCAATTTGCTGCCCTTTTGGCTGTGCTGATGCAGGGGGCTGTTCCCTCTCCAGGTGCAAGCAGCAAAGCGCATCTGCTTCTGCTGATCCCAAATAAAACAACTGTAGGCAGAGTCCTCTGAGCTGAGATTGCCTACAAAGTGAGTCAGCTCAAAACAAGGATAAAAGTTTGATTCCAGTGCCAGAGAGGAGACAGAAATTCCTGCTGCGAGGAAGGGAAAGCTAAGCAGCGTGTGCAAGACAGGCAGTAAGAAAAGCAGGGAGGAAATACCCCTGCAGGAAAGCTCCCACACCAGGGAGAGGCAGAAACATACACATGGGACTTGTGGAGCCAAAGAACAACCAGAGGGTGACACATCTTGAAGGGAAAGAAAAGCAGGGCTTTAGCGCAACACACCGGAGACGAGTTGGAGGTCACAGCATGAAGTCCTGGGAGGGAGGCAGGGGAAAAGCACCCAGCGAACACTACTGGTGCTGGGGCTCTCTCCAGCGGAAGGGGAAACAGCATTTAAAAGCCAGGAGCAGACAAAAGCCTCCTAGTAGGTGCGGTGGGAGGCACAACTCGAGTGGGCGGCTGGTGCTCTCCATTGCTGGTGGGGAGGGGGAGAGGGGAAGGGCTCAGGCAGGGCAGCCCTGCTGCATTTCCCAGGCTGCTCTCTGTGATGAAGGCAGCAAGGCTGGGGCGAGGAAAGAGGCCCCACCTGCGGAGGCTCTGCAGTTGCTCCGCTGGACACAAAAGGGTGAGCCAGACACCGGCACACTTGCATGGGATGCTCTGCACCAGCCCCCCTCCTCTCCCACACAAGGGCTCGGGGGGCTGCTCCTACCGGGGCCAGCTGTCCTGCCATGCTCCCCCATCAAGGTAAGGCTCTGCAGATGGAGCTGGGGGGAGGCAGGCAGGCAGGCCCGAGGGTGGTGGGAAGCAATACGGGTGGAAGAACCCAGAGAGGGCACAGGCAAGAGGCAGCCAGGGCCTGTCCCCTTCTGCAATGAAACCTCCAAACACCCCGGCATCACCTGGCAGACCAAGACCGGATTATTGTGTTTGGAAAGCTGCTTCGGGGAAACAGGTTCGCCCTCGCGGTGTGTGTGAGCGGCTTTTCCTGCAGGTGCTCTCCCACCTCTCTACAGCAGCGGGGTGCAGCAGGCTGGACAGCCCGCACGCAACTGTCCATAGCTTTGCCCTTGGTGAGCAAGGAAATAGATAAAAGCAGCGTTAGCATTTCCCAACACTCGCAAGAGCCGTCTCTGTCAGCAGCAGGCTTGCTCAGGCTCAGCCAGCTAGCTTCCAACTATCCAGCAGCCTCTGAACAAGGGTGCTGGGGGATACTAGTAAATCAGCATCCAAAGAGGAATTCACCGCACCTCTTGTCAGCGAGAGGAATGGGGCTTCTCCCTTTCTCTGCTGGGGTTTGTCTTCCTGAGAAGCAATTGCTCAGATGCCCACCTCCCTGGCCTCGCCACAGCATGGGGAGCAGATGCATGTTGCTCTTCAGACCCCTCACGCAGCATGAGCTCCTCCGGCCATTTTACACGTGCACATGAGAGCAGGGCAGAGACTGCTGACCCGCCTGCAAAACTGCAAATAGCACTGGTGAAAATTAAACTGTCACGGGCCTAACTTCCCCTCCTCAGCACTGCACGTCCTATAAACAGCAAAACCACTGGTTGCTGGCTGCATCTGGCTTGTGGTCAGGGTATGATTTTAATTCTCTTTAAACATTCTACATAAAAAGGGGAGTAGAAATGTGGTTGCAGTACTCCATCTGTGCCTAGGGCAGGAGGCAGCTTGGCTTGCCCACATCCACTGTCGGCAGCACACAGGGCGTCTGCTCTGCTGAGCCAGCCCGGAGGGCCTCTCAGGCAGCTTTCCCACCTTCACCCTCACAGCTCCAAGAACATGTCCTTGGTTTATCACACTCTTGCCATTTTTATCTCTCTGGAAATGCTCTGTGTGGCCATGTGACCTTTATTAAGATCATATTTTTTTATACTGCATGATTCTGCGTTAACATAGAGCTCTCTTCTCTGCTGGGCACTCCAGGAACAGGAGAAGCAGCTACTGCTCGCCTGGCATTTTAACACATGAGCTCCTTAGCCGTCAAGAGAAACAGCCACCGGATCTGCATTTTGTTTCCTGGTGGTTCTGTATTTTAAAAAGCAGAAAAATAGTTAAGAAAGTGCAGAAAATAAAAAAATCCATGCTTTCAAATAAGCATTGTAGCCACAAGAATAAGGAAAAAGCAGATGAGATCTAAGCATAAGTCAACGTGACCAAAGACAAAACCAGCTATACATTAAGAAACAGCTGCCTGGTTGCTTTCTGCTCCTCACACCTGTCCCCTTCCGGCTCCAAAATCCAGGTCCCCTACAGCAATGACTGCAGGGGCGGAGAAGCCTTAGAGATGTTCATGCCAGACGCAGGCAAGGAGCATGGCAAGCCTGAAGTGCCCCTAATGCCTGGACCTGGAGTACCCCCGTGGCAGCCTGGAGGAGAGGAAGGGGGGCTGACATGCACTGCTTGGAGAGAAGGGTGACAGCAATGCTGAGGAGGAGGAAACCAAGGAGAGCAACCACATCAGTCCAGAGAATGGCCCAAGGGAGGACATGCCTGGGGACCCTCTGTGCCGGGAAGGTGAGGTCTTCTACAAAACCTTCACCCTCATCAACGCTAACGGTGTGGCCAGGAAGCTGAAGCTGCTGGTGAGCCTTCATGCCCTGGGTTGCAACCCCAGCCACGGGGAAATCCCTGTGCCAGCAGCACCCATCCCGGATGGACAGCAGGGCCACTGGGCCCTGCGGCACTGAGGACACCACAGTGACCCTGGGGAGCAACTCTGGGGAGGAGTCCGGAGATGGCTGCTCCAGCCACGTCACTCAGTGAGCACCAGCTCTTGCTGGCACAGAGGCCATCGAGCCAGGGGGTCTGCAGGGGTCCACATTGGAGGAGCATCCTTACTAGTGCTCGCAGTGCAGGTAGTCCTTCAAGAAGTCCAGCAACCTGCTGAGCCACCAAGAAACACACGGTGTTTCTTTCTAGTCAAGCCCTACACCTGCGAGCTCTGCGGCAAAGCCTACTTGCACCAGGGCATGCTGCAGCAGCACCGCTGCCTGCACACAGGCAAGCGGCCCTACGAGTGCCCCTTCTGCGCCCAAACCTGCACCTGGTCCTCGGACTGCCACAAGCATATCCGCACCCACATGGGTGAGAGGCCCTATGGCTGCGCCAACTGCAGGAAGGCCTTCGCCTGCTCCTCCAACCTCTGCGAGCACCAGCGCGACATGCACCACGATAAGCCCTGCCCCTGCCCCGACTGCGGGCAGAGCTTCAGCAAGCCCTCTCCCTGCTCCACCATCAGCGGGCACACTTAGGGGCCACGCCGTTCCATTGCCCCAGCTGCGGGAAGGCCTTTGCTGTGGCCAGCTGGATGGTGGAGCACCATCGGGTCCACACCAGCGAGTGGCCCTTCGCCTGCCCCCACTTCGCCCATGCAGCCACCCTCAAGCGGCACCAGCAGTTCCACAGTGGCCCCCTGCACTGGTGCGGCACCCTGACGGCTTTCCCCACGGCACCCCACCAAACCCAACAGCCCCTCTGCACGGACCATGATATCTCCTGGCATGGTGCAGAGGAGCCCTGGCCTCCCCGGCATGGCCAGGGGAAAACAACATCGGGGGCTGCGAGTGCCCTTGCATGCCACAGGGCCCCTAGCACACAGCTGTTGGGGAAGGAGGAGGCAGTCAATGAAAGAACAGTTGCCCAAGCACAGGGGAAAGAGACAGAGTTCAGTCACTCATGCATTACTTATTTCTGAGCGCTCTCCCTCCAGGAAAAGAGGATCCCAGCTTGGCTGGCATGGGGTCCATCTTCCTGCCCCTGACAAGGCTGAGCGCCCTGCCCTGGCCATGCAAAGGCACCCCGCACGCGTTTCACAAGATGGTGAAAACCCCAACACCCCCATGGCTTAAGCAAATACATACCGGGTTTAAATTCCACATGGAAATGGGCAAAGAAAACCAAACCGAAGCCCAAACCCTCCTATGCTGCCACTGAGATGAGTGCTGCAAAAAGCAACCCTTTCCTTTCACGCAGAGTATGCTGGATACAGTAATTACAGGCAAAATATTTGCACCCCTCACTCTCCTCCCAGGAGAGCGCCTTTCTGAAGAAGTGCACTGTTTCTACGGCGATAAGCTGTTTTCTGAGACCAAGAACAGGGACTAGACAGTTGGTAAAAATGGCTTTTCTCAGGTACCTGATACAGTTTAATTTTAATTGCCTCAGCTGACATTTCTAACTTGCACTGTAAGAGAGATGTGCAGTGGTGAAATAATTAAAAGTTACTGTTGGGAACATCCTGTTCTCACCCGTCTATAGTGAAGAACAAAAGGGCAAGAAGCATTTTTGGCTTTTTTTTTTCCTCTCTCTTTCTTGACAATTAATTGCTAGTTATTGCTGCGTCCCTAAATGCTAGAACCCAAGGGTTTTCCAAATGACGGCAGAGATATTTAGTGGTTGGTACCCGGTTTATCCAGCCTCACTTGGTGACAAACAACATTTTGCCAGCCAGATCCCCCTGCTCAAGTTATTCACATGAAGGGCTCCGAGCTTCATTTCCTGGTTTACAGCACTTGCCTGAAAGGTCTTTCCAGCAACTGCCCGGGAGCAGCTCCATGATGGGACTTGCAGTCCCATCCCTTGCTGTCTCTTACTGTCCAGTGTCATTTGCTTCCCCAGCAGTTACACTGGTGTACGAGCTGCATCTGAGCCTCTCAGGCAGGGGAAGTGGTCCTCTGGATGGGAATCCACCTTGGAGCATCCTCATGTAGATAGAACTTATGCTGCCTGCTCCTCCCCAGAGCTCAGCTGGCCACCTCTGGAAAGGGACTTCCCAGCTGTTTTTTGCAAAACTCTGTGAATCGCTGCAGAGGCATCTGCAGCTACTTTGGCAACACAGTACTCGGGAAGGAAGAGTCAGCCCCGGCCTGAGCGCCCCATGGGGCCAGACGTGGGCCTGAAAGACAAGGAATGGCCAGGGAACACAGCAGATGTGCCTTGCCGACCTCTTCATTGCAGCAAGGGCCCTGGCATGTGTGAGAAAACAGAAAGTCCCTTCCACCTTTCCCATTATGTAAAAGACAAGAGTGATATTTATTAAGTGCCTGCTCACCAGATGCCAGCCTGGTCGGGATCCGAGTCCCAGAACACTCTTCACATGAACCTCATGCTTCTTGACACAGCCCCAAGTCATCCTTGCCCTCATCATTACCTCCAGCAGCCGTGTGCTTGGCTTACACTTCAGCCCATCACCCAAGGGCACTCCTGCCTCCGGCCCTTCCTTCCACCCCTCCTGCAATACCACCCCAAAGCCAGGTTCATTTGCAGGAGACTACAACAGTATGGTAAAGTTTCTGATGTTTCCCAAGTCAGAGTATCCCCGGATTTTAGTCTCTCTCATGCAAAGCGAGGCTGAGTATACCCTGGGCTGACATTTAGCACTGATCTTCTGGAAGGGAGAACAGGGCTCTGCATGGTTTTAGGACTAGCATCCCCTTCGCCCACAACATGAGCAGGTGAGGGATGAAGCCCAGAACCATAGCAGGTGTGTGCTGCTACAAAGTCCTTCAGCCTGTCCAACCTCCTGCATGCAAGCTCTTCCAAGAAGGGTTTGAGAACCAGTCTGGAAGAATAAGGAAGGTGCATGCTAGGCTGACTCTATTATTTCTACTGCCAGGGGTGGTGGTCATGTTTTATAGGTCTGTACACAGTCAGCCAGCAAAATCTTTACAAGACAAGACAGAAAAGTCACTTAAAACTCTTCCTCAAGGGTGTTTCCTGATGAGAGAAACAAAAAAGCAATGATAGCAAACTGTGAAATAAAAAGAAAGTCAGGTCAAAAGACAGGCGAGTGCACAATGCGCTCAGCAAGGCTCTACACTGGAAATTGCTGGAAGCCCCCCAAAATTGCTTCCCCCTTTTGAGAGTATGAATAAAACAGATCAAGCTGGGCCTTTCCTCACTCAGAGTTGGCTGTCTTCCTTCTCAACAGCAGCAAGAAAGCACATCAGTTTGAGGCAGCACACCCAAAAAGAGAGCTGTCCTTGTTTCCAGTTTGCAGAGGAGCAGAGGCCTTTCACTTGCCGTCTTAGTGGGTCAGACCTTTACAACAACGTTGCTGCACTCATTACACCCCTGCACTTTGGGAAGATGTCCCGCATTGCTTGGATGTTGCTTCTGGATTTCTTATTCTGCCCTTCATGGTGGTAAAAACCTGCTGCAGAGCTGAGCCCTGGTCCCAGACCACCTGGCCATGCAGTGCTATTGAAGGCATGTAAATACATCCGTAAATGATGATATATAAAAGTGCTTATAATAAATGTGCTTGTATTGTAATAGTATTGTAGCTGCCAAGGACTGTCCAGGCGGGGGGAGCCTAGCTTTATTTTTTCACTCTTGCAGCAATTACTGTCTGATCATTACAAACTGGATGGTGTGTCATAGTATAATAGGAAAGGAAATAATGTACTTAAAATGGGGGATGTTCTTTATGCTTACATGAACTACCCAGTTCTGGAGCTATTTAAAAGCTGCTGTTATATCTCAAGTGAATACACTGGAAATAAATACTCTATACCTACTCATGTATGCCATGAACAGTCTAAAAGAAAATCTCTTGCGCTGTGGTCTTGAGCAAATGCAGGTATTTGTACAGATGCATGGCGTATTTCAGTGTCTATTACTGTATGCAAAGACCATGCATCTGTACATCTCCAGAAGTGAAGCAGGACATGAGGTCTTGCAACTACTCACAGGTGTCTTCCTGTACCTCAACCCAAGCCTGCAGGCATCCCTAGGGGTAAGGTTTGGTAGGTGAGAAGCAAAGGCTGGTGGGAGGCTTCGCGGTGAGTGTGCAGGCAGCCTTGTCTCAGCAGGGGTTCCACCTGTGGGACCACAGTCACAAACACAGACCTCAGCCTTCTCCACGTACTGCACTTCTGTCATGCTCGCACACTGCTGTGCTGTAATCGGGAGCTGACGTGCAGGTGAAGACAAGACCAGATAACCATCTCTCTGTACGCAGGAAACGCAGCTCCCAACCTCCCCGCTCTCTGGGAAGGAAGCACCTCCCAAAGCACGCTGCACAAGGTGAAAAACATCCCCGGTCTCCTGGATTTGGTGCCAGCAGCAGAGGCAGTGTGGTGTAAGTAAGTGCCCAGATTTTCCCACAGCGCTCCAGCACAGCTGTGCTTTCTGGCAAGGTCAGCTTTCATCCAGCATATATAACACTGTGCCAGCAGAAATACTTCTGTGGGGCTGCACTGACCCACGTTACAAAGTACAGACTCTTCTCAATGCAAAAGTCAATGCCTTCTTTTTTTCACACTTCTGGGGCAAATCATTTTGCACAGTCAGCAGACAGAGTTCTACAAGCGGGTTTATCTGCTTTTTAAACAAGTAAGGTATAAATAAGAAATCCAGCTAACAACTGGTCCAAGGGCTTCTTAAATGCAAGTACCAAGACACATACTAGCAATCTTCCTAAGAGGTCCCACAAGGAACGTCAGTTAGATCACACTTTAATCTTGGGGTCTGGGAGATTGAATGCTGTATCGTACCTTCTCCCAATTCCCTTTCCCAAACAATGAAAACGAGTCATCCATCACTCACACCACTTACCAAGCAAAAGTCTTCAGACCAAATCCTTTAGTTTTATAACAACCACTGACACCTCAGGTTTTAGTAACTCGTCTTTCTAAATTGCTGTCCGTCCACCAGGCAATCTGAAAGAACCCACCAAAGCCACTAACCCATCCCTGCCAATACCACCAGCAGTATTTTCAGCAGCAATGGCCACGGTCAAGGTATTGAGGAAGAAGAAAATTAGCACAACGTCTTTCAAGCAGAAAAAGAGGCTGGGCAAGCAGGCCAGCAAAACACGCTGACTCTTTTGGGGTAAAACGTACCACACTCAACAAAGAACATCCTTGCATCAAGGAAGATGATTCTTTTTAAAACATGTCAGGTAGTTATTTGGAATAGCTGTTAAACGGCAAGCTGGCAGCTAGGCTACCTTCCTGTTACCTGTGCATGGCGCTGAGCCCAGGGACCTATTCCTTCAGTGTCCCTTGCAGCCAACAAGATGTATGCTGGTAGCTTGTACAGAAACAGACCTGCTGAGAACAAATGACTACTCCTGCTTTGAGATTTGGAGCACGTACGCAACAATTAAGATAAAACCCTTAATGAGAAAAGGAGTTGATAGCTCTGATGTTTTCTTCTAGCAGATAAACAAGAGGAAAGCCATTGTATGAACTGCACGAGCGCATTCATTTGAGCATACCCTCCTCTGGAAAACATTCCCACGTAGTAGGGGACAGTTCAGCAGCACAGCCATCCTACAGTGAATTTACAGGTGGGCTGCACTCTGGTGCAGAGACCTGTATTACCTGCTTCATAGGCTAGCTCCCATTCAGTGGCTGCTCTTTTAAAATGACTCTAACCTTGCACAAGCCCACAATTTTTTAACTTCTCAAAGCATCAGACACAACTGGGAACAGCAAAATAAAAACATTGTTTTCCTTTCTACTTCCAGTAAGTTACCCTAGTGAAATGCTATTCATCTGCCATTCTGTTCGTGAGATCTCAGCCCCCGTTCATTTTCAGTCTGTAAGTAGGAAAACTACAACGGGGGCTCCTTATGCCAACAGAAACTTTACAAGATCAGAGGCAGATCATCATATGATGAAGCCTCACTTTAAATAAAAGCTGCCTACTCCAGAAATTTCAATGCCCATTGCTCAGATTAATTGACAAATGATGGATTGCTTAGTGCTCCCTGTTTACATCAAAGACTCCTGCTTCAGACTCCTCCATGCCGGGAGAAGGCAAACAGTGTAAGAGGAGGATGATGGTATGCAGAGAAGCAGAAAGACTGTACAGTAGTAGCTTTTCCCTTGTGCAAGGTGCTGTATCTACACTCCACAAGCATGGGCGTATTTACCATGCAACACTTTTGTTAACAAAGAAAGAAAATAGTACCATAGCTGCGAAAGACTGGTCAGCGATTCCAGGTCAGCGATTCCAAGTCAGCAAGGACCAGGAGTCCGCAACGGTGGAGCTATTCTAACTTCTTAGTCTTGAGACAATTTTCCTGTGCAATTTCCTTGAGGACAATTTCCTCGTGGAAATGAGTTGGGCAGAAGCGATATAGTGAGGGGACAGGATAATTAGCAAAGAGCAAAGGGTATTTCTACATTCCACTGTTCACAAACACCACTCGGTGATCAAAAGTACCTGCACAACCAGGATCCCCTGCCTAGCTCAGAGGTCCAGCCCTGTGCCTGTGTCCAAGTGCTTCCCGTAATGCCCCAGCAGTGAGGGCCTGTGAGTGAGTCCTCTGCACAGCACAGCATCAAAGGGAATGGCTTCCTCCATGGCCTTTACAGACGCAAATGAGCTAACAGATACGCTGGCTACTCTGAACAAAGAAAAATGACTTCTGCTGAAGTCACACACTTCTAAACCTCTCTAATGAAGCAATGCTGTGGAGCAGGTATATTTGCTCCCTAACTCTCTTCCTGTTCCAGCTAGCTATCGTGACTGGCTATGTCTGTTGTAGGCTACCCGCAACTCAGACTGACACTGTGAGAGTGTCAGGGCCTGGGAGAGATTTCCAAACCTTTATGTTAAAAATGTAAAGTGCATAAGTGATGATCTCTGCGTTAAATTAAGCTCCAAGGGATTTCCTGTAGCTTGCACAGGAGTTAGTGGAAGTTTCTTTGAAGAGGGTTCAACACACTTTTCCCAGAAACCATCACACATTTTAATTACTCCTGTCACACATCCAAGCACTTTATATGCAAGTCAACCTTCCAGGCAAGTATCTTTTTAATAACCTTTTAGTTAAGCCTAGTAGTTTTCATTTCACCAGCCATTTACTCTTCCCATTAAACAGACCTTTGTTCAAAATACTTCCACCACTATGCTCTTACAGGTACAAATTCCACCAACTGCTAACACCAAAAAGCAGAATAACTGGATGTTCCCAATTACTGCAACTGTCTAAGCAGAACAGTCACACAACATAAAGGTCCGGATAGTGGTGCAGTTTAATTGGGTATTAAAACTCCCTACAGCAAGAGCACCGCATACCTGAGGGAGAAGCAGGACGCTGAAAAGGGGAGACTGTAGCTGATAACTTCAAAATGGGTTTGGAAGATGAGGGTGGAAACTTAATGTATGATAGCTTCTGGAATGGCTTTGTCACCTTGCTATCTACCCTCCCTCCGTGTCATTTCAGATTGTGTTTAACAGCACAGTCTGCACAGAAAAGCACTGATGACCTCTCTCTGCAGATCATTTACCCACCGTCTCCTTTCAGCAAGGATTTTTTCCATGCAAAGATCCTTCCTCTTAGAGAGGCTAAGCAGCCCTCAGGTAAGACCGAGCCTTTGCTAAGGGGCCCCGTCAAAAGCCCTTCAGAAACCTAAAACTGTACTGGAACCACCTGCAGAGGGGAGTTTGGGGAAGTCTCACTCACAGCTGTAGTGCAGGGTTCAGAGCCATCCTGGCAGAGATATCTGCGTAACAAAAGTACGTAATTTCAGAGACAACATAACACATCTCTAAGAAGTGGGATGCCGATCAGTTCCCTAATCTGGAGACTTGTTTGAGGAATGAAACTAAAATGATCCATTAGTGAGGCTGGGAGAATTAGCCTCCCATTCACAACCAAGCCGAAGTGCTGCTGAGGACAGTGGTTCAGCTCGATCTGAGCCAAGGACCTCACATCAAACACTACAGTACCCACAACTGTAAAACACCTGCTCTGCTGTTGCACGGGTGGAAGGTGCTGAGCAGCCATCACCATTTTTTACTCTATGAAATATGCAAACAAATGGCACAATCAGTACTTTACATTAAATAGTTTGGTAGTAAATGCAAAGGTACATTACCCTGAAGCTTTACTTTCACTCTGCTGCACAACTTCCT